TCCCATATTCGATGTAGTCGCAAAACAGGCGTATGTACCGGAAACATCGAGTCAACATGAGCAACTTAACTAATGTTAACTTTTCTTAAAGATGAGTTGCATTTACTAAACCCAGCTTAAGCCGTCCTCTTGAACCTATCGATGTCGAGGGATGTACTAAACTACAGATAAAATTTGTTAATAGAACTTTAATCTGAAACATTCTTAAGTATGATTAATATGTAACGCAATGTAGAGTTTAAGGAAAATTTATTACTATTTCATGTAAATCTGCGTTTCATCATGTGAGATATGTGTTTTTCTCAAGGGGTCATTAGACTATAGAAGTATTACTTGGATGGTTCTGTTTAACTAGAGAACTAACAATTTATGAAGGGGTTTATATGACTACAAAACTACTCTATCAAGGGATATATTCTATTAGAGAACTATCAGTTCCATGGAGTGATTCATTGGACTACAGAACTACTATTAATCAGGAAATTTATTCGACTTAAGAACTATCAATTCCATGAAGGGATTTATTAGACTGGAAAGCCATTCCTCCAGGAGATAGTCAGGCAAGTGAATTATCAATTCCATCAGGAGGTGTAATCGGCTATAAACCACCAAGTTGACTAGAGCACTCTTGGGCTATATCAAGAGGTTCATTCCTCTACCGACTTATGCAGTGTATTTCTACTCTAGAAGAAGTGATAGCCTTTCTCACCTATTTACGTAAATATTCTTTATGGCTGAGGTAATGAAGGTTTTCGCCCATTGAGTTGTTTAAAGCTTTTATTGCACAAGGAAGTGTGGTGTGTCGCTTCAAAGTACGAATCTGAAGATAAATTGTTTCTGTAGGAGGGACGAATCTGCTGGTGTGGTAAGACCTCATTGAAAATCTAAGATGGGAGTATGTCGGTGATGAAAGCAGTTTCTTGTAGCTCCTCTAATGGCTGTATTAACATAAATTCACAGACCGTCTCCAGATTACATTCACGAATCTTCAACTCGTGATAAAGACTAGGGTATAGTAGATTGACTCCTATAAAGACAAAAGTATGCAACTTACCGACCAAATCTTTGTAGCGGTATCGCTTGTACCTACGTGTGTTTTGGAGGTATACGGTTCGCATACAGTCTGAGTTACCGGCCATCATTAGACTTACTTGGTTTTACTTAGTATCTCCGTACTGATACAGGTAGATGATTAAGTATTTGGTGTCTCGGGCATCGACAGACGATTGTACACGGCGCCAAAACGTGAACGATCACCACCATGATCCCCAAACCTCAGATCTCCCTTGACTACTTGTCATTAATAAACATAACATATGAAATATGTGACTTCTGTAAGCTTTAATATTGATGTGCTACCCTCTTAAGTCGGGAACATGTGACATGCAGTTTAAAAGAGATTTAAAAATGTATGCCCACTGGCATATTGTTACCCTCGGAAGGGATTTTGGGTGCCCGCGAGAATATCAAAGTAGATTATTCATAATAATTTCGTGCTTTTTCCCTGATGATTGTCAGGAAGATTGTTATTTTTGCTGTAAGACCCGAAACCTCGTCCATGGTTGAAGAATTTAAATATTTGGATTATGTTCAGTTACCTCTGAGATTCTTTACGTGCTTTTTTTTTGAGACCGAGTAGCCATAACATTGCTTCAGAATACGTCTTAAGTGAGAACGCAAGACCCAGAGCCATTCCCGAACTCGCCAGTATTGTTACGGTGTGCGTACATTTCCGAACTTGTTGATTTATGCATTAAACTTGCCTGAGAGTTGTTCAGCGCGTACTGGGCTAAGCTTTCTGATCGGTATGGTGAAATCTCTTGAGCCGTCTGCCTAGGTATCCGGAGTTTGTGTGTTATGATCACAGAGATTTGTGTTGTGTGTACGAGATTCCCATATGAACACCGGAGTCCAATTTTGCTGTTGAATGAATCCACTCCATCATAACAGTATAAACACGTAATGCATATTTCAATTCCCTGCCTTCTCCTCCGGCTTAAAGCGATGTGAAACCACCATCTATGAAATTTGTGTGATGAGCGTTTTAGCTTCGTTTCCAGCCTATCAGATATGGATAATTTAAGTTTGCATGTATTCAACACCCAAAATGTACGGTATTCAATGCACAGTACTAAAGCAAAGAATTGTTGCTTTATTCTGAACTGACCGTATTAAGAAACAGAAACTTTACAACGGTAATTATTAAATGACAAATTCTTAGGTTGTTTAACTACGCTATTTCGACTGTAGAGGTTTCATAATATCGACTTGGACGGGAAGAATTATTATGAATGTTAAACAGATATTAATTTGCAAGGATACGGTCATTGAATATCTAAAAGTAAATAACTGGCATTCACGTTGAAGTACAGAAGGTGCTATTCACCAAATATTATTAAAATTATGAAAATAAGGGGAATTAAGTGGGAGAGTCATGTAGCACGCATGGGAAAATACTAAGCATTTTCAGAACATTAGTAGCAAAACCAGAATGGCGGACACGACTTGGGAGATGTGTATGTAGATTGGAAGATAATATTAAAATGACTCTTAAAGAAAGAAAAAGCTAAGGATGGAATCCAGTGGTGAACGCTTTTCATCATTGTAATTAAAATTCAGTTGTGTACTTCTCGACCAGCTGAGCGACAATTAGCTTTCAAAGTTGTGATTTAGTAATTACTTTGTTTAGTAGTTTGAAAGTCGTGGATAACCAGTGTTGTTGAATGGACTCTGAATCTTTTAATTACAAAGTATAAATATTTCCTTCTGTAGATCGCGATGTTAATGTTTTTAAGAGAAAAGACGAAGAACCAAATAACTTTCGGTGCTCGTCGTCTTTGCTGAGACGCCGCAAGGACTGCCTCCGTCTTCAGCTTTAAAATTTAGTTTTACTTTGTTACATAAGAAATTATGTGGTTGAAATTATTCGCTTCACTGTTACAATGAAAATAAAAGCAACCCCGTTTTATGGCTTTAAGCAAGAATTTGCATTTTAAAACATGCAGGTATGAGATTTCAGGTTTCCCCAGCGGCAATAAGACTGTCTTTTGGGATGTTTTGTAGAAAGTTACCGATGATTCAGATGTTGTTACTACCCTGATAATGGAAGCAGTAAGTGCCTCTGAAACGTCGATCAGTATCTACCAGACAACACTGCGTAACATCACAGAAGACATTCGACTTTTTTCTGTTCCGTCAAGAGAATCGCGTGCTGGGAGTCGAGGAACTATTGAAGACGCGAACCAGGTCGTCGTCCCGGGTTTTGTTAGCTCGAAGAGATTGCCCTCCCGCGGATCTTCATAACGCATTAAAATGCATAGCTTCTCCATCTAACTCTGCCGCTCCAGTATGTAGTTTGCTTTCAGGTTTGAATGATAATGACATAGTTCGGATCAACATCTCATATATCGACTTCTTCTCCTTTTTGACACAAATTTAGTACGGTGTTTGTGGGCTGATAAGGATGCAAAAACTAGCTCGCGCCATGTTTCAGAGTCCTTTTTAAGAAGCTGATAGTCGCTCAACTAGTCAATAAATTCCCTGTATTTTAATAACTCCGAAGTTTTTACACCGTAATGACGATGTTTTTTCGGGTCTTGAAGCCATGTAGGCTTTGGTCCTGAAGATGGAGACTGTATTTTTCTCCGAAACGTTTTAAACCACCGAAGGCGTCAGAACCAGTAGGACAGTGTCAACATCCTCGTCGTCATGAGAACCTCAGTTGTGACCTTCACCATGTTCGCATGTGCCGCCACTGGTTCAAGTGTCAACCAGATGAAACCAGTGAACGCCGCAAACACCACTTAATTAATTTATTACAATTATTATTATTGTTGTTGTACCTGTGCCTAGGTCTCTTCACTTTATTTCTTTCCCGTTTTCCAAGTACGATTTTCGTATCCACCCCCACTCCCCAATCTCATGCTTGCTGCTTGCCCTGATAATGGAAAATATTGCTTGTTAAGGAATAGATCTGCATGGCAAATGCCATGCACTGGGAAATGAGAAATCCAAAACAAATTTTAATTAGAAGACCTAGATCTAGGTGGGAGAACAGACTGATATTGAAATAGATCATGGAGAAATAAGAAAGAGACACGTGGTTATGGACAGTATTCTGTATTGGCGCTTTGTGAACGCGGTGATACAGCTAAGGTTAGCGTAAAGACGGAATTTTGACCGGATGAGTCGTGATCAATTTCCGACACATTTTCGACATTATGGAGTAAGTCAGTCTGTCATTAACATGGTTTGTTATTATTTAAGCATGAACGTTTTGATTTTAGGCCTTGTTCTGGGGACTGGCTAACTTGCTGCCTCCATCATCAGGGCAATGTGTGCGTCAACGCTTGATGATAGAGGCAGCAAGGGCCTGTGAAACGTTAGTAAACTTCTAGCAGACTATACGGCGCTACAACCCAGAAGACAGCAATCTTCTGGTAAATTTACTTGTTAGGATTAATTCTGGCACGCCTGGTAAAATTTATTTCCCTTGCAATTGAACTTCTGTATGTCAGACCCGAATAGGGTTTTTAAAACAATAATAAAAATAATAGGATTACACAGATCATATTTTACATCTGCCCCTAACATTCACCCTATGCGATTCCCAGATAATTGGAGAGGGAAGGAGTGAGGTATATGGATGTTTGATTTATTTCAGCGTGACTGGGAAAGCTCATAAAACGTGTATGCAAGGCTCTTGGATTTCTGTGTCAGTAGCAGGGACCAAAAATCCGAGTCAGTAAACTGGTTTGTCGCATTCAGCGTGCGCTGTCTTGCTGTTAATGTTATTCAGGGAGGGCCCGATTATTCGATCGAGGCAGTATATTGAATGTGACACCACTTTGTGTGTCTTAAAGGGAATGTAAATTTTGACCCCAGAAAACGCAAAGCAGAAAATGTATTCTGTTGCAACTTCGCTGAAATAAAACGTCATCTCTGAATGTAACTCCTGTCCTCGGAATATATCACGAACGTAAATTTTGTTTTATTTTCAGACCTACATCTTCTTGATTGCAAGTGGAAGTTGGAGACAACAGCCCTGCGAAGTTGAGTAAGTGTAAACGCTACATGAATGTAATTTTAATGTATCTTAATGTATCATATATATATACTGAATGAAATCACCGAACGTTTAAATTATAATTAAGTTGCGCGCAGTCCATTCTGAAGTAAACTAATTAACACGACGTTTCAGGAGTCGCCTTTACATTTCATTGACTCGAGGTTAAACAAATATTTTGCTGCTAACTTTTTCAATAACCGTTTGACAAATACATATATTTAGTTAAATTAAAAATGTAATTCAGATTGATGTTGTATTCTTATGTGTTTCTGAAATATTTTATCTAAAGTTATTGTGAATTAAACTGACAGAGACTGAACAGCTTATAGTACATCCGGAAGTGAAATTAATCATGGAACGTAGAATTATAATAGGATCCTGATTAGAGCAATCAGTATAGTGTTATATTACGGACTACACGTTCGGGGTTCGATCGTTTGCAAGGATAAAGGAAATTTCTTTTAGAATGTGGGGTCGATCCAGCGGGTACCAGGGGTCCTTTCCTCGAGGGTAAAATAGAGCCTGGGAGTGATGCTTATTATTTGTCCCCATCTAGAGCCGAGGTCAATATTGAATACGAGTTTTCCCCACACCCCGCCAAGCCCACAACTTCTCGAAGTGGGACAGCTTAACTCAAGCGATGTAGTTCACGATAAAACGATTATAACTTTTATACAAGTGTCTCAGATTCCGGATTAAAATTACGGTTCAGAAACTGGTTGTCATGACGGTTATTTCATGGTTTTTGTAAGTCCTTCAAGGGGAATTATGTATTTAAGAATAGGCCACGACCACCTCCTTGCACATAACTTTCTTATTCATAAACCTCAGTCATCTTATCAATAGGCGCTACATAACCAAGAGCGTTGAAATAGTGTCGTTTAACAAAGCAATAATCTAAGATGTCTGTCTTCTGGGATGTTGCGCCGTGTACTCTCGTAGAAAATGATGTTTCAGGGGTGCTTACTGCTTTTCTAATTAGGGCGATTATAGCCCTGATGAAGACAGTAACCTAATCTGAAACGTCGATCAGTTTTTTTTTAGAAAATTACACGACGAAACATCCAGAAGACAGCCACCTTCATGCGTTCATACGGCGTGCGTGTCTTCAGACTCGTCTTAGTCGCGGTGTTACGCAAGGACGAGACCGAATCAGTTCTCGCGAATGTGGAGGGCTGCAACAGCGACTTGGAAAGTAGCGAATCAAGGTGTTCAGGATGCGGCAAGCTTCTGCCTGTATATCCTGCCTGATATCTGTTATTGTATGTATGTATGTATGTATACAGACAAGCTGCTACTTCATTTGCATCCTGCATTGATTTCCATGTCAAACACTGGGATGGGGCAGCGCATTGCTGGGGCCCGGCCAACACCAAGCCCGCGTTACACAGACCATCGAGATGGAATTATTGATATCGTTAACCGTAGGACTTAATACAGGTTTACGGGGTTGAACAAAGCAGGACACAAACGCGATCTCTGCGTGTGACGAGAGTCACCTGTGATTCAGAACTAGAAAGACATTCCTTAATTCCCACCGAAATAATTGCGGCACGTGACACTTTTCGTTAAAGGGAAGTATTCTTATACCCAGCCTCCAAGTGGGGGATCAGTCCCTATCGGCTGTCTGTCACTCGTTCAATATATTCGCTGTTGCCTTTCGTATCCCGTACTGTGTCTTCCGTTCGCCACTTTAGAAAGATTAAGAACGAAAGCAATTTCAATTATTATTGAAGAGGAGGTTCTTCAATTATGCATATCACGGTATGTTAAGATCTAGTAAGTAACGGTGCCCTCGACATGTACCTGGGTTGTGGGAGAAAAGAAATGCATTTGATGCTTAACCTCGTCTAAATACTATTCAAGAATCCAGTCCTTACCGCAAAGAAAACACAACATTTCACTATTACATAGATAAATTTGTTCAGGAAATAATTCCCGTTTACACTGTGAATCATACGACACCCATAAGTACAAATATCAACTTTACTGATTGAAGATGGTTGTCTTCTGGGTTGTTGTGCCATTTAGTTTGATAAAAGTTTAGTGACGTTTTAGAGGTCTTTGCTGCGTCCATTATCAGGGCGATGAAGGCAGCAAGGACCTCTGAAACGCCGGTGAACTTCTAGCACAACCCAGAAGACAGCCATCTTCAGTATCACCGCCGAGAAAACATCAAATCCTACAGCTTTACTGATTGTTAAAAGCATATGGTATATATATGTACGACTGGGTTTTAAAGGTTTAAAACAAAACGAAATATTACTAACTCCATATAGAGGAGTTCTTCTAAGAAGCTGATAGTAGATAATCTATCCAAGAAAATATCCGTCTCTTGTAGAACCTGAAGGTTTATTGCTGTTTACAAGAGCGTACTTCCTGTAGCCGTAAAATTTCGTAATGTGCCTGCTTTTTAGGGCGATAATTTTTTTGCCCTCTGCTCAACCCCCAAGCAGAAGTTTTAGCCTTGTTGGTTTTCTGCGATTGCTCATTCAATATAGTCGCAGCTACCTCCATATTTGGAACGAGACATCCATTATAAAGAGTAACACAATCCAGTTGGCACAAAATACTGACGATGAACACGCACTGAAGCAATCCAGGTCATTACAGGCCAATAAAATTATAGTCGTGGAGTTTGTAGATCAGGCACAGTGTTTTCAATATAGAGGATCATTAGGAGCGCGCGCTGCAGCTGTTTTGAATAAATCGTGGGGATTATAACTATTTGGGAAACAGACACTGGATTCTTAATTTGTTCAGCGTCGTTTGTCAACATCATCAAGTGGGCCGATGTTACAATGTGGATACATCCGTTCGATGCCGATGGAAATCATGAGTTAAAATTAAACTTTTTTTCTACCGAAACATTTTCAGTCCCTATAAAGTGCAGAATTTAAAATAACGTATGCTCCTTTATTATGAAGTGTTTAAGATAAAACGTAAATGAAAACTAGTCATTTAACGAAACACATTGGTTTAACACTTGTCTGCTATTCACAAACTTTTATGCCTGTTCGTTTGAGTGTTTAAAATAAATGGGAAATAATTAAGCCACACAATTGAAAAAAAAATTCAGAAATTCTCACAAAATGCTGGAAAAGTAAAAAAGAGGGAATTAAAGAAAGTAGACGGAGACGGCAGGACGTATACTCAGTAAACACTGTACCACGAATTTTTTACTTGTCTGATTTGAGGTTTTCACAGCGGTGAGTATGAATATTTCTGTCTTCTGGGTTGTTGCGCTGTGTAGTCTGGTCGATGTATACCAACGTTTCTGAGGTAATACTGCCTCCGTCATCAGGGCGATTCATCGCCCTGATGACGCTGGTTGAAGTCCGAATAGGATTGGGCCATCGATATTCCCAGTTTGTGACAGATTCCTGTATCATAAAAAGTATCATAAAAAGTTAAAATGTCTTTATATTTAATTCTAAGAGTATCGGTACAGTATTAAGTGATTAAATTGTCTGATGAAGATTGACATTAACCGACGAGTCTAATGGCGCCAAAACCCAGAAGAACATAGTCTGCCACGGTTTTCGCGAATTTTTACTGTTCGTTCTCAGATATCTTAAAATTATAATATTTTGTAAGGGTTATAAATTGTTTTTAACAAAATTATTTTAAATTTATTCGGCCACGTTTGGCGGCTGAGTTGGTGAACATACAGCAGCCATAAAAGTATGAGAATTCAATTATTCAGTCTTTAAGAAAATATATTTCATATAGGCCTATTGTCATTTCTTGTCGCATCCGATTACAGACATTCACTTTCTACAAATAGAAGTAAATCTTGTATAAAATGAAGACATAATAACACACTTGTCGGAAAACCGCGCTATTGTGAATTTTCTGTATGTATGAACCCTGACAAAACCAAAGTCGCGGGCTCAGAGTGTAGGGTTGTAATTTCAGCAGCTCACGCCGCCGGGTACAACACACGTAGACCCTGATCGAAAGGGAAGAGGTAATATAATTTGTCTTATCCTAAGGGCAATAATTAGTTAATGAACTTGGGTGTAAGGGGTTGTGCGGAGGGATGATGGGATGTGACAGAGGGGGTAATAGTGTTACGAGGTGAGTCCCTGATATTGCGAGGACTAACAAACAAGTATTTGCTCAACGTTTCCCGGCTGACAAAACTGTGTGTTAACGCAGTGCGTATGAATCTTGCCTACGAGCGGATTCAACCAAGGCCGTATTCCATCAAATTTTAATATTATCGAAGACGTCTGTCTTCTGGGTCGCACTTACCGCCGTGAGAACTTCGAACTCTATTTACTTCCTTGTCACTTGTGTATGCTGTGAGGTACAATCTCAGGACTGGCTGATTGTTTTAATTAATTCGTTTTATAATTTTTTGAACTGTGATAATTCTAAACCATTCACTAAATTACATCTATAATTAGCGTTGCTTCTGCCAATCTTTGGTCGGTCTATCGTTTATTTCATATGGAAAAGCTTACTTGGTTCTTTAACCCGCAATGGTAAGTATGTGTAACATTTTCTGTCACAATCAGCGACTCTGAATTAGACCCACAGAATGCATTTATTCATTTTGCGCGTTTATCACTGTAAACAGAGATTTTTTCCTTAAACAGCATTAATCAGTTGATCTTTGTAATGGTGAAGTACTGTGTTTTCTTCGCGGTACGAACTGAATCCTTAAACATTAGTTACACGAGCTTCGGGCATGAGAGGTTTAAACGTGAGTGGGAATTACTGCGAAGGGAGTACATAGCCTATTCTTTTCCCTTAAGTATAAGCCTTTAGTTCGCACGTCTCATTTTATTAGTATTTATGTTAACCTATTAAAGATGCTGTTCTGTTGTTTCGATGCTTATTACACCAGATGTAAGACTGCATGCGTAGTCTTAAGTTTATGAAAGGGAAAAATAGCTGAATGGAGGTGGAGACCGAGATTCGATTTCCAGTAAGGACATAATATTATTCCTTCGTCACTACGTCTGGACCGCTTTTGATTCCATGGGGATGGTATTTAACATGCACGAGAGAGATGTAAATGTATGCAATAGTTTAGTCGAAAAACTTGAAGGGAAGATACATCTTGCAATATCAAGGAATAAATATGAGGATAATATTAAAGTATATCTTAAATAAATAAGTTGTGAAGATGCGGATTGCATTTATCCGGCTTACGATACAGTTCACAGAGTTATTCTCGAGAACGCGATAATTATGCTTCTGGTTTCATGAAAGAAAGTATTTTTTTGTTTAGCTAAGCGACTTTTGCTTCTCAATAAGACGTCTGTTCCATCTGGATATAAATAATTACATATTTCTGTATTGTAAGGAGTGTCTTTTAAATGTCCATACGTATGCACATAGATGACCGTCTTCTGGGATGTTACGTCTTGCAATCTGGTAGATTTTGACTGCCGTTTCAGAGGTGCTTACTGCCTTCATCTCCCAATCAACAGGGTGATCAGTACGTGATAATGGAGGCACAAGCACCACTGAAACGTCCGTGAACTTCTACCACACGACGCAACATTCATATAGGTATTCATCTTCGCTTTAAATTCATTTTGTCATTTTGTGCTGGATCTTGTGAACACGGTAATGAGAGGCGGGGAACTTTCAATTACCTGAGTGACTACTTGTCTCTCAAGAAGGACTGAGCTGCACGGAGTTAGTACTTTGTTGTGTATAATTCCGACTTTCGGGGATTACTTGCATGAGGTTTTGAAGGTCATCCAACGTTTCGATAAAAGTTGCAGCTACCCTCTTCAAGATTATCCCCGAAAGCCGAAGTCATACTTTGAACTCCAGCCGCGAGTACCTGAGGGCAAGAGTTAGTGTGTCTTGTGTATATAAATATGTAACCTTTGTGAGATATCAGAATTCAAACATCTGACACGAGTATAATCGTCCGAATTCTTCGTGTATATACAATCCCACTAACGACATTTGAAACCTTTTGTCAGACTCAGCGGCGCCTACCATCTACCTCTCAGTTTAAACTTAGAAATCGATTTCGCTGGTCTATAATAATATAACTGTAGAAACGCAAAACCTTAAGGGTTTTCCTTTTTCTAAAGTTGGCACTGACCGCTGTTTCCAAAGACAAGTCATACGTCTGATACAATAATATCCTACTTTCAGCGTTTTAGTGCATTGGATCTTATTTATAACAGTATGAGTTCAAATTAAATACGCACTTTTTTGTTTTCATGAAACAAATGTGGAGGCGGCATACTTCCCTTAATTTTGAGTGGGAAGAGGCGTGGTTATTTTGAGGATTCGCCATTTTCGGGCTAATTTATATCTAATCAGCCGCTCTGACATTTCACTTTATTCCATTTTCTATCACTAAGCAATGTACCACTAAAGCAATAGAAAATCTCTTCAAATTTACCGTTGGAGATGCCATACTAAAATTTGTGCTTAGGAGCCGAATATGATTTTGAAATTTATATTAAGCAAACGTGTGCTTAATAACGAAATTGTTAAGCACCCTAAAATATTTTTCATATTATATTAATTCATATTCTACTAATTTTGAAACTAATCCTAATCTCGTATCGCTGAGAGATTAAGTTGTGCTATAGAGTCTTAATATAAGGAAAACAATTTTAGTATCAGTTGATTAACAATCTTTAATTTGCAGGGGCAAATGAATGGGTGTTGTTAATTCGAGTGGAAGGAAGATAATTTATAACTTTTAAGTTTCTTACTAACCTCCCTTCCGCTGCAGACTATCAAAACCACGCACAACAAACTCTTAAGATCCACTTTACAACCTAACCTGAACACATTTCACATTCACCATGTCAAACATTTCTTTTTTCCCTCTCTCTCACTCTCTTTCAGAAGAGTACAATCTCAAAACATTATGGTTCTCACTGGTTACGTATGGTAAAATAAGAATAAATTTATTTGAGCATGTCATATCTAACGTTTGCTGAGCTCATTTGGGTTAGAATATATACACAGAGACTCTTAACTATGGCCTAAGTAGGAGGATGAGAGACTGGTAACACCGTACCTCGAAGGCAGTGACGCAAGACTCCTTAAGTCTAGAGAATGTTTTCAGCCTCCTGAATGGAACTGATGAAGCATGAAATTTTAATGGTGGTGTTATTCATCGCAGAGCGTTCTGTGCAAGGCACCGCGCAGATATGACAAAGATTACCGACATTTCTGAAGAACTTATTGTCCTGTCCTTTTGATCTAGTTAGGTAACGAATCAAGAATTATCAAAGTAACAAAATGCAGATGTTGCGGTCTTCTTGATACCGACTCCGTGTAGTCTCACATGTGCTGTTACCAGTAACATACATGGTACGTAATTGCTGTGATGTTGGAGGCAGCAAACGCCTCTGAAACGTCGGTAAACTTCTAACAGACGACACAGCTCATCACAACAGAAGACACTCAGCTTCGTAGCCGTGAGAACTTGAAATCTCACTAATTTAAGAATACCTGGAGTTTCGCCTCCATTCCCACGTGCATCTTTGTGTTGTGTTGTTTAAGCACAGTGACAATTTTACCGCTGTTTTAATATAAAAAACTAGTTGTTAATAGTTTAATATTTTCATATGCAGTACTCGAGAGTCATTACAAATATATTACTTTTAAATGAGAACACTACAGTGCGCAACTCATTGTCGTTACCCTGGTAAACGGATCGTCCCACCTCGAAGCACCGGTGTTACCAGTCTGTAATAGTCTGCATGCATGATATCCGAACCCAGAGCTGTTGTTGGCAGTGTCACACCGTGGTTTCCCTGTCCACGTGTATAAACTCCACTGACTGAGCCGGTTGTCAGGAAGATGTCGTTGATCCTGACGGATCAAGTAGCATCTCCTCTGTGGGGACGCGTCGTGGTCCGACGTCCACGCCCCCACGATTTCGCTTCTTTTTACCCAACCTCCTCCTCCTCTTCTTCTGAGTTCGTATCCGATGAACTGCTGCCACACACAGGAAAATCGTCAATGCGGCGACACTCGCCGCCCCTACCCCTAGCGCTGTGTATATCCCACCTGGTAAATACGCGAATAAACTTCTGCCTGCAGCACAATGTGACTCGTCCTCGTCAAACCCTGACGGACAGTTCGAGCGACCGTCACACCACAGACTAGCACTGATGCAGGCGTTTAGCTCTGGACACCGATGTGGGCAGTCCCAGTCGGCGGGAAGTGACGACGTCATGGAGTCGTTGTCGCTTCCGACGTAATCTATCTGAAGCTGTTGAAGCAGAGATGATCTGGAACGCGAGATTTCCAACCAGTTGAGGGCTGCGACGCCTGGTTCGCGGCCGACGAATTCTACGAGGAAACTTGGTGGTCGAGGAGACCTCAAATAGAAGGCTCTACTTCCTTCTACAGAGGTCCCACTGTTGCTTGTTGTTGGCGTGTCTTCTCCCATGGTTCCTGCACTGAACCACTCCTCGGAGAAGACGTGTACGGCGTACTGTCTGGCGTTGGGAGAGGCCGGACAGACCACTCGGAGTAACCTGTAGGAACGAGGAGGTACACTGAAGTTAGCCGACGGCGAGACTTGACGTTTCTGAGTCACATGTTGGGTCTACGAGATTGGACTTCTACATTTTGTTGACGTGATGCCTTATCACGAATGCGTGAATGAATGAATATGGAGTTTCGAAATTCTGAGTTTCACTGAGTAGTTTCGAAGGGTTTAGTGGTTGATATTTTGATTAGTAAACAGGTAGCGTAAATTCTGAATCTCACTTGCTATAACTGGACAGTGAATAGATCGGACAGGATTACAACCGGAGTAGGAGCACACAAGAGGGCTTAATCCTTGAAGAACAATAAGAAGAATAAGAATTTTCGTGTTTATGTGATTTTAAAGACTATAAATATGATACTCATGGATTGCACAGGTCTGTCACAGAGATAGTAAACATTAAATTAATGTATTTCACAGTCTT